TTTTCTGTTCACGATCTGTCCCCCTGCCTGTGCCAGTGGCCTCTGTCCCCACTGTCTGTTCCTCTGCCTGACTGTGCCATTGGCCTGACTATGTGTCTGTATGTCTCTCTCAGTGGCTCTGCCACTCTCCGTCTCTTTGCCCATCTTTGTCTCTCTGTGTTTGGTATGTCTCTGCCTCTCTGTTGGGAGCTCCCTCTCAGGGCCTGGTCGGGTGGACGTGCCTGGGGGGCAGTCCTGGGGCGTGCCATTTAGGTAAGCGCGCACTCCCAGGGACCGTGCTGTGGTTGCTTGAGTGCGTGCCTGGGAGCCTCGTTGCCTGGCCCTGGTCCAGCCCTGGTGTTTCTCTTGGTCACTGTTCCCTTTCTTTGTCTTTCCGACCCCCTTGTAGAGCTGAGTGGTTGTTGGTCTCTGGTCTCACATCTCTGGTCTCTGCTCATCTCAGCACTTCTGCCTTCCCCAGCTGAAGTTGGTTGCCCGACCCTGCATATCCCCGGTTCTGCACTCAGCATCTCTGAGACCAGTGTCAAATTCCAGGAGAGTGGACATAGCCCAGCTCAGGTCGCCATTCATGCTGTGTCCAGTCAGAGGTGGCCAGGGGCTGGGGATCCCCCTGCCCTCAGCAAGGGCTTGAGAACCAGCTCTGTGAGGAGGGGTATGCCGCTGGTTACAGGAGGGCCCTCTTGTCCTGGGTCCCCAGGTCTCTCCATTCGGTGCCAAGTGTGACATGGGAGCATCCCTTGCTGCTGGAACCGATGTCCTTCACCTTGGGCCTTTGTGGGAATTGGGAGAAACAGCCAGAACTGACTGACAACCAGGAACAACATGCTCCTCTCCCACCCCAGCCCCCATCTCAGGGTTCTTTAAATGGACTGAGCACCAAGCTGCCTCCTCCTCAGAAGTCCTGGTTCTTCCAGCTGTATCTGCAGGAAGAATCATCACCTTCCATTTTTGGGTTCCAGCATCCGATGTCAGAGCCATGTGTGGTGAAAATGGTGTGTTGTCATCACCCACCTGTGGCCGAGTACTTTAGCGGGTTCAGGAGCTCAGGAGCAGCAGGAAGAGGAGGCAACAGCCTTGACTCTAGGGATAAGAGGAGAGCCCTGAGGAGGCCTGGGAGAGCCTCCAAAGAGCCTTGCTTTTCTCCTGACCTTGTGTGGGGAGCGCAGCTCGTGTAGCCAAGTAGCAGTGGGCATGGCAGAGGTCGGGGGACCCTGCCAAACACCTACCTTGTTTCTGGCCGGGTCTCTGCAGCTGTTTTCGGTGTCTCCGGGCAGCTCTTAAACAGCAGCAGAAGGACTTAAGGGCACAGTTTCCATAGGGAAGGGGTGAGGATGGGGCTTTGCAGCCATGTCTTGCCTTCCTGGGAGAGGTCTGCCAAGGTGGGACAGGAAAGGCCTGGGGTCGGGCCTGGAGGCTGGTGGAACTGGGCCTCGAGCCCTGAGGATTTTTCCAGGCCTGCTGAGGATTCACACAGGTTTGCCACAGCCATCAGGGGCCTGCACCCCCAAACCTAGATTCTGCCATCAGCCTGTGCTTCTGGGGAAGGCAGGACCCAATCCCAGGTTCTGCTGGCCTGCTGCAGAGAGAAGAGGCCACCCCAGAGGGGAAGGCGCCCATGAGTGCTGGGGAAACAGTCTGCAAAGGCAGGGGTGATCAGTCGCTTTATAATGAAAGAAGCCAAGTCTGCACCAGATTTCTCTGGAACTCTTTTCTGTTCCTTGGCCTAAGCCACACCGGTTGAGCCCTACTGTGTGTCACATCCTACACCAGATTCTGGGGGTGCCCAGGTCCCCGTCCTCCAGGCCAGCAGGGAAAGCAGAATGAGGCTTGTGGTGGGATGTGATGGAGACTCTTACAGTGCCGTCGCAGCACGGAAAAAGCAGTTAATTCTATCCAGGGAGTCAAAGGAGCCTCCCTAGAGGAGGTGACATTTACTCTTGAAGGTTGTGTAAGGGTTTACCAAGAGGGAACGGAAGGGTATCTCAGTCAAGGCTGGAAGGGCCTGGCTGGCTTGGGGAGAGGTGAGATGTTTGGAGCAGAGGGTGTTGCAGGAGATGCATGTGGCTGGAGAAGGGACAGGGAACCACCCCATCTGGCATCAGCCTGAGTCCAATGATCACAGACTTCCTTCCAGTGCTGAGTCTCTCTGTATCTGCTGCTGAAGCAGCCTCCGTTTTCCTGTGAGGCCCTCTGTAAGGTGAGGGGAGGGAGCTTGGTCTTGGAGGACGGAGGCCACGTCTCCCAGCCTGTTCTGGGAGGGCGCAAGGCCCCTGGTGCCCCAGCTGCACACATCACCTTGGCAGTTTGTGGGCAAACCCTCCTGGCTGAGGGGAGGTTGCACTGCCGGCCACTTCCTCCAGTTCCTTCCTTCAGCCTGTCGTCACGGTTACCTCGCCTTGTTGGGGGTGAGGTTGAGGTTGGGCAGAATTGATTTCCGCCAGGTTTCTATTTTCCCAGAGGCAGGTCAGCCAGAGGAGCTGTCACTTCTGGTTCGGTTTCAAAGGAGGCCAAGGGGCTGGGAGGTGCCTGGGTGCGGTGGTGTTGACAAGGCGTCTCTCCAGCTGCCTCCCAGGTGGGGCGGGGGTGGGGCAGGGAGGTGCCCAGGGATGATGGGGCAGGAGGAGGAGGGCTATCCTGTCAGGGCTCATGCCAGTGGCCATGGTGCTGGTCTCAGGCCCAGGCCCGGGTCCCCATCCCAAGTCCCTAGAGCATGCTGGGAATACAAAGAGAGAGGCTGTTTATGTTCCTGGCCTGTGGCCCTTTGGGCTGAGACCTGTTCCAGGCCTTGGGCTGCCAGTCCATCCTCCCCAGTCCCACACTCCCTGGCTGGAGAGTTGGCAAGCCCAGGGCAATCCAGCCACTCCTCTAGTGGCCTCTGACTTGGGGCTGTCCCCAGCCCAGCTGGTCCTGCGTGTTCTTTGGATTTTCCCGGCAGTAATGGACAGCAAGATGTTTCACATCAAAGTGTTCCTTGATAGCAGGGTGCGGTGGCTGGTGCCTATAATCTCAGCACTTTGGGAGGCTGAGGTGAGAGGATTGCCTGAGCCCGCAGGTAGACTAGCCTGGGCAACTTGATGAGACCTCACCTCTACAATAAATCAAAAAATTAGCCGGCCGTGATGGTGCATGCCGTATTTCTAGCTACTTGGAAGGTTGAGGCGGAAAGATCACCTGAACCCAGCAGATCGAGTCTGTGGTGGCCATGAGCATGCCATTGCACTCCAGCCTAGGTGACAGAGTGAGACTCCAACTCAAAAACAAAACAAAATAAAAAGTTCTCCTTGATGGACGGGGCTGCCTAGGCCAGCAGTCAAAAGCAGGATGGTTGAAGCCAGAGAAATCTGAGTTCGAATGCCAGCTTTGCCATTTCCTAGTTATATGGCCTTGGGTAAATTGAACTGAGCCTCAGTCTTTCCATCTGTAAAATGGTACAGCAGTCCTACCTTCCTCATAAGACTTTGATTGTGAAGATTGGGACATGTGTTTAAAGCATTTAGCAAAGTAGGCAACAAATGGTACTTCTTGTTATTATTACTAATGAAACAATAACAACAGAAACTTTGATCCAAAGTCCATGTTGGTGGGCAGTGAGTTTCTCGCTCCCCATTGAATGGTCCCTAGTTCATACATGGTGAATCTCCGAACACACCCTGGGGGAGAAGCCAGCCTAGGGGCTTGGGAGCCCCCAGCTCTCTCCCTGGTGGGCATCCCAGGGGGAGAACATGCATAGGCAGGGGAAATGATTAAAGCCAGATGAGGAGACTGAGGAGGCCAGGAGACAGCAGCAGCAGGAGACAGATCGAGCATTTGGAAGAACCAAGAGAGAGGAACCTTGGGCATAGAGAAGCAGTGGAAGTTGAAAATCCCACAGAGGGCCGGGTTCGGTGGCTCAGCCTGTAATCCCAGCACTTTGGGAGGCCGAGGTGAGTGGATTGCCTGAACCCGCGGGTTCGAGACCCACCCGGGCAACTTGGCGAGCCCTCGTCTCTACAATAAATCAAAAATTAGCTGGACATGTTAGCACGCTCCTTAGTTCCAGCTACTTGGAAGGCTGAGGCGAAAGGATCGCCGGAGCCCAGCAAGTCGAGGCTGCGATGGCTGGGAGCAGCCACTGCACTTCAGTCTGAGTGACAGAGTGAGACTCCAACTCAAAAAATAAAAAATAAAAAAAATCCCCCAGAGGCTAAGAAGTGAGGACAAAGTTAGGCAGGGAGATGAGAAGGGGTGGAAGAAGGATGTGTCCACACCCCAAGGCACTTTTAAAGGAAGTGCCTGGGAACCACTGGCCTGGAAAATCATGCCCAGAGGGCTCAGGCTGGACAGGAGAACAGGCCATCACCTCCCTTTGGTGCCTCCTCTGTGTGAGTAGACTTGCAGCTCCCGGCCTCCCGAACCAGGCACATCCCAGTATCTGCCTTAGTCTATTTTGTGTTGCTATAACAGAATACCACAGACCGAGTAACTATAAAGAGAACAAATGCATTTCTCACAGTTCTGGGAAGTCCAAGATCAAGGTGCTGGCATCCAGCGAGGGCCTACTTGCTAAATCGTCTCAGGGCAGAAGGTAGAAGGGCTAGAGTGCAAGAGAGCAAGAGAGGGCAGGTTCACTTTTATTCCAAGCCCTTTTTCTCGTTGATCCGTTTATGAGGGCAGAACCCTCCCGACTTAACCACTCATTAAAGGTTCCACGTCTCCATGCTGTAACATTGGGGATTAAGTTTCCAAAGCATAAACTTTAGGGGCACATTCAACCTGTGGCAGCATTCCTACCCCTCTGGGACACTGACTCCTCCCGGGACATCTTCCTGCTCCAAGAGGATCCTTGGACCCCCTAGGAGAAAATCTTGTGTCTCCAGTCTGCAGGCTAGTGGAAGCCACTGCTTCCACTGCTGAGGTGTGAGTTAGGAAGGGGGAGTTGTCTCTCTATCTGTCTATGTTACCGGGGAAGCTATACTCCAGGCCTGCCCCAGCCTCTGATCCATGGCTCTGTGCCCTCACAGCTAGACGAAGAAGAGGAGCGAAGGAAAAGGCGCCGGGAGAAGAACAAGGTGGCCGCAGCCCGATGCCGGAACAAGAAGAAGGAGCGCACAGAGTTCCTGCAACGGGTGAGTGGGGCGGGCAGGCAGAAGGCCTACCATGCCTGGGGTGGCCTGTGTGCCCTGGACTGGGAGACACCATCAGACATCTGTGCAGTAGGTGAGCATCGCTAGCAGCTGTTGAGGCAGCCTCAGCCCCTCTCCTCTCCTCTACCTCCCTTTTATCAAATTGCCCTCCCTGAACCAAGGCCACCAAGACAACCCACAGCAAGTCCTGCCCATGAGGCCCCAGGAACCCAGAGAGGGAAGGCAGAGCCTAGTTCCCCTCTGCAGAGGCTGGATCCTTGGTGCTGACTGAGAAGCAGTTCCCGCCGAGACTGCTACTGCCCCTCTTGGTCCCCTGGTGGCTACGAAAGTTGTCTAGGGTGGGCATCAAGCTAGGTAGTCACAGCCTGTATGTGGGCAGGACACAGCACCTGGGCTGGATACTTTTGTGCAGAGAAAAGTTCTGTCCCTCAGCTACAGCGGCTCCCCCAGCCCTGAGTGCCATCTGGCCAGTCCCTCGGCCCCTGAAGATGACCCCCAAGCTCTTTGCAGCTAGCCCCGGGGTCAGATGTCCACTTTGCATGCAGAGGTCAGCCATAGGTTGCTTTTCCCTGTGGTCCTACCTGCCCCTTCATTGGAATGTGCCAAGCAAGGTGTTGGCTCTTTCTCGCCCCTGAGTCCCGTCCCTTAGAGCTTCCCTACCTCTCAGAAATGTAGATGGCAGCGAGGGGACATGAGGAGAGAGCTGATCAGTCCACGGCAGTCTCCAGTCTCCTCAGCCCGATCATGGGTTAATAATAGTAACAACGTACAGTAGTAGCATAACGAGTCAGTGCTATTCTACAAGTGTGCAGTCATTAACAGCCGTTGTCGGTATTTGTGAAGCTGGGCACTGTGCCAAGTGCTGTGTGTACATTCTCTCTTTGTGTTGGCAGAAGAACCACATGAGGTGGGCACCTTCATTATGCTCTTTCTACAGCTGAGGAAACTAAGTCATGGTGAGGTTAAGTAATAGGGCTCTCAGCAACTAAGTGGGAGGACTGAGAGGCAAGCCTGAGCCGGGAATGGTGGCACATGCCTGTAGTTCCAGCTGTTTGGAAGGCTGAGGCAGGAGGATCCCTGGAGCCCAGGAGTTCAAGGCTGCAGTGAGCTATGATTGTGCTGTAGCACTCCAGTATGGGTGACAGAGCAAGGAGTAAGAGGCTAATGAATTGGAGGACATGGGCTGCAGGGGTTACCAAGAACAGGCAAGCCAAGGCAAGAGGCGTTAAGGACACATTTAAGGCATTGAAAAGCATCAGCAAGGCTGGAGTTGAGAGTACAAAGCCAGGGGTGGGGAGGGCAGGCAGGGCCCGCGTCCTCCATGTGCAAGGTGACCCTAGATGCTGGGCTGCCTGTCATCCCGCCCGGTTCTTAGTAGCCCCTCTTACACCTTCATGGTATCTCTGTCAGGATGATGCATTATCTGGTTAAAGGGTCACACCTTCTTTTTTTTTTTTTTTTTGAATCAGAGTCTTTCTTTGTTCCCCAGGCTGGAGTGCACGGGCGCACTCACAGCCACCGCAGCCTCAACCTGCTGGGTTCAGGCGATCCTTCTGCTTCAGCCTTCCAAGTAACTGGTACTATAGGTGCACACCACCATACCCAGCTAATTTTTCTTGATTTGTTGTAGAGACAAGGTCTTACCAAATTGCACTGGTCTCAAACCCCTGAACCCAGGCAATCCTCTCGCCATTGCCTCCCAAAGAGTGGAGATTACAGGCATGAGCATCTGTGCCTGACCAGGGTCATGTCTTCAAAGGCTCCCTATGGCTGCAGTGTAGGGCTGGGATTGGGACAGAGAGGTCCCAGTGGGAGAGAAGTGTGTGGCCTTGGGGTCTGGGAGGGGGAGTGGGGCAGCACTGTCTGGGCCCACATATAGTCCTCCCCTCACACCACCCTCCGCCTCCCCTCTGGTCTTGGAAGTAGAGGCTGGGTGGGAGATTTAAGGCACAGATGAGCAAGAAAGAACATGTGACTGTGTTGACAGTGCCTGCAGACCTGAGGGATTCTCTTGTAATTTATTTTTAATAGATAAGATATTGACAAGGCTCAGAGGTACATATATTAATTACTTATTAAATAAAGGGATATATATGTGAGGGGCCCCCCCCAAAAAAACATAATTATCTTTGGAGGGTGGCCCCCTTGTAGTACACTCGGAATTTGTTCCTCCAGATCAAGCGGTCAGTCCAAGATTTTATCTAGAAGTTTTGAGAAGGTTGAGTCATGATGTATGCAGTTGGCCCAGGCACAGTGGCTCATGCCTGTGATCCCAGCACTTTGGGAGGCAGAGGTGAGAGGATTGCCTGAGTCCAGGGGTTCGAGACCAGCCTGAGCAACTTGGTGAGCTCTTGTCTCTAAAATAAATAAATAAAAATTAGCCAGGCATGGTGGTGTGTGCCTATGGTTCCAGCTACTTGGAAGGCTGAGGCGGAAGGATCGCCTGAGCCCAGCAGGTTGAGGCTGTGGTGGCCATGAGTTTGGCACTGCACTCCAGCCTGGCGACAGAGACTCCAACTTAGAAAAAAAAAAAAAAGACAAAGAAATGTTCCGAGTTGTGGCAAACAGGTAACTGATTGTTCCACCCTGAAAACGTACCTGCCCACACTGCTGAGTATTCAGCAGTTTTTGACCAAAACCAGCATGACATCTGTGCCCCACCCTCCCTGTTCACCCAGTTGTGCCCCATGTGACTTTGGTCTGTTTGTTTCCCTGGATAAAAATACGTCTTCAAAGGGAAACATTTTGCTCATGTGGAAGAGGTGAAACAAAAAAAAAACAGCAGAAGCACTAAAGGGCATCAAAATTGACAAGTTCAAAAACTGTTTTGAGCAGTGGAAAAGCCAACGGAGAGTACTTTGAGGGTGACTGAAGTTTAAACATGTAAGAATAAATGCACAATTTTTTATAAATAAATTCTAGGTTTTGGGGGGACCCCCCTTTGTACAATTGGGATACATATCCAGGTGGCCTTCTGTATCCACAGGTTCCACATCTGTGATTTAACAACTGCGGAACAAAAATATAGAGGAGGCCAGGTGCGGTGACTCAAGCCTGTAATCCCAGCATTTTGGGAGGCCGAAGTGGGAGGATTGCCTGGGACCAGGGGATCAGGACCAGCCTGGGCAACTTGGTGAAATCTTGTCTATACAATAAATCAAAAATTAACTGGGTGTGGTAGGGCGTGTCTGTAATTCCAGCTACTTGGAAGGTTGAGGCGGAAGGATCGCTGGAGCCCAGCAGGTCGAGGCTGCGGTGGCTGTGAGCATGCCCCTGCACTCCAGCCTGGGCA